CAGAACTATGAGGCTCTGCTAGGGCTCACTAACTTTTCAGGAAGAAGTGATAAACTCAGGTGAGTGTAGCTGCTTTCTGTAGCCTCTTTTCCCCAGGAGTGAACGTGAATTTCAGTTCAGCACTTTTCTTGTAGGACGATGAAGACAGGTCAGTTTGAGCTGCCTTTGGCAGAGCTACTAAGGTCTCAGAACTTAAAGATCAATAGAGTAGCCAGGAAGGTGAAGGTGGCACATATTCCTCTAGAAAAAGGAAAGACATGAACCTAATCTGCACAAGATAGGGAACGAACCATGTGTCATGAGCTGCAGTGCTGTGGACACTGATTTGTTTCAAGGCCCTGTCTGCAGTTAAGATTTTCTCTGTTGCTTGTCCCGTGATGTGTTTTATCTGACTGCTCTTCAACACAGAATGAAGATAATCAAAGAGAAGGCCCTGCCAGATATTGAAAACTACATGTTTGAGAATCACGACCAGCTTCGACAAGCAGCCACAGAGTGCATGTGCAACCTGGTGGTCAACAAGGAGGTAACTCCCTGGGCAGCTCAGGCTTGACTGGGAGCCCCTGTGGTGAGGTGTTCCTAGAGGTGTGAGCTCTGGAGCCCCTGTGGGGAGCTGTTCCTAGAGGTGTGACCTCTGGAGCCCCTGTGGTGAGCTGTTCCTAAAGGTGTGAGCTCTGGAGCCCCTGTGGTGAGGTGTTCCTAGAGGTGTGACCTCTGGAGCCCCTGTGGTGAGGTGTTCCTAAAGGTGTGACCTCTGGAGCCCCTGTGGGGAGCTGTTCCTAGAGGTGTGACCTCTGGAGCCCCTGTGGGGAGCTGTTCCTAAAGGTGTGAGCTCTGGAGCCCCTGTGGTGAGGTGTTCCTAAAGTTCTCATCACTGGATAGGGTTTTTTTGGGTTGTTTTTCAGGTGCAGGAGCGATTTGTGGCAGATGGAAACGACCGGCTGAAGCTGGTGGTGTTACTGTGTGGTGAGGATGATGAGAAGGTGCAGGTGGCAGCAGCTGGAGCCCTGGCCATGCTCACAGCAGCACAAAAGAAACTCTGCTCTAAGATGACTGAAGTGGTAAGACCATTACGTCCCATTATTGGCAGTGTAGACATGCCCTTGAAGGGGCCTGGCTCACAGAAATGCCTCTGGAGAGGAGGTTTGACAGGGAGGAACTTGGTGGAGGGCACACTCCTGGTCCATCCCTGCAGAAAGGAGACCAGCCTGGCTTCTCTAGGCTTCATCTCAGAGCTGAAGCGTTTCTGTATGGCCATTCCTCAAGCTAAGTCCAGGGTGCTGTCAAGCCAGGTTAGGAATGCAGAATATTATTCTGTAGGTTCTTACAGCTTTTGGTAAATAACCTGAAATCCAAACCCTGTTTCTGTCAGAAATGAGAAGAGCTTGGCAGATAACCTATGGAGCTCTACACATCCCAAAACATCTCCATTTCCTGCACAGATCCGTAGGTCCTGAGAACCCAGACCCTCTATGGCTGAATATCTGTGAGGAGCTGTGGCTGAGAACTCAGGAACCCTGTTGTGTTGGACACTGGGGCTTGTTAGAATAAAAATGATTAATCAAGGCAGAGGAAAGGCTCAGGAAAATCCCTGGGGGGAGTGGGGGGCCTGCTCCTGGTCACCTCGGCTGTGTCAATACTCTGATCAGAATCTTTGCACAGATGATGCAGCAGCTGAAACATGAAACAGGTTCCATGTCATGCTAGAACCATGAAAACTTCTGACTTTAGCATAACCAAAACTGGCTTCAAAAGTTTGGAGTAAGGTTTGGAGTAGTGAAGAGGCAAGTCCCTGCTCTTCCTGCTGCTGAGAAATGCCTTTCCAAACTCACATTCTTGGTTGAGGTCTTCTTCAGGTCAATACTAATGATCTTTCTTTCCCTTGAAGACCACTCAGTGGCTTGAAATCCTGCAGAGGCTCTGCTTGCACGATAACATGAAGGTGCAGCACCGAGGCCTGGTCATTGCCTTCAACCTCATCAGTGCTGACAAAGAGCTGGCAAAGAAGCTGGTGGAGTCAGAGCTCCTGGAGATCCTGACCTATGTTGGCAAGCAAGAAGATGACCCCAAGAAGCAGCACATCATTAATGCAGCACGTGATTGTCTCACCAAGTGCATGGATTACGGGCTGATCAAGCCTCTCTCTCGGGCGTGAGGAGATGAAGAGCATCAAAAAGGGGCTCAGTGGGGAAAACAGGCTACTGAGCAATGTGGAAATGTGAGAGCCAGGAGGAAAATCTAGTGCCGTTGTCAAGGCATGGAATAGTTTGGGAACAACTTTGGAGGATCAGGAACTGTATGAGGAAAAGGGAGGATTTGCCTGGGAAATTTGGAAAGCGTCCATCTGAGTAATTCCCAGATGGTGCAAATCCTTTCTTTGCCCCCATTCAGCTGCTGCTGCTGAAAGCTTCAAGGCCCAGTGTGAAAGAATTGGTTGGGTTGGAAATGTGCCAGAGGCTGTTGGAAGGAATCTCAACAGAGCTGAAGTCTGTCCTGCAACCATCTCTAGCTCCTGGTACTTCTGGAATTCTAGCGATGGCAGAACAGGGAGGGTTAAATGCCTTTTGTTCTGTAGTCAGAAAATAGGATGGGTTTTAGCTGTGTGCTTTTTTTGTTCAGTTATGGCATTTTTAAACAGCCCTAAGTGATGTGCTGACGTGTGAGGACGGTGTGTGAACGCTCAATAAAGGCACTATTTTCTTTCACATGGAATTCCTCTTCTGCTTTTATTAAGCAAAGGGAAAATCTAAGGCAGCTCCCACTTGCAGCCTTACATCCCAGGAAGATGGAGGCTGAATTTCCACCACTTGCAACTATCCAGCCCTGCTGAAATGAATGTGCAAAGTTGCCATGAAAGGCAGAACCAGGAGGTGGCACCAATGGGGTGAGCTGAAGTTCACACCATCGACAGAGAAACTATCTCATTTATGGAAGAAGCAAAATGAGAAGCAAACACACCCACTGGTCACTACATGAAAACTTTATTACCTCAACGTAAATTGATCTTACACAGGAATGATTAAACGTGGACTAAACTGCATTAAAGAATTTCTGATTACATTAGGTATCTAAAGTGATCTCGGGTGACAGGCGGGCACGGCTACGCGGTGAGTCTGGGGGTTCTAAAAGGAGCCATAGGGATAGATCTCCCTTGTTGATTAAGGAAAAAAGTACAGAAAGTGCCTCTAGCTTCCTGAAGTTAGTTAAGCAAGAATTTTTACACACAAAGGTTTGACAACCTAAAGGTAAATTTATTTGGAGGGTGATTGCAGCTGCGTGCAGTGTCTGCTCCTCCTGGTGACCAGATTCAGGTAAATCACCAGTGCTTGTATCACCTCCCCAGGAGGATATTGGACTCTTCCTCCACACCAAATGGACCACAGGTGGGAAACAATATGGCCTGTTTTCAACCAGCCTCCAGTTTTGGATACCTAGTTTTAGGAATTTGGGGTCTTGCAGAAGTATTTTGCATCTGAGTCTCACTGAGTTTTGTGTAACCAGCATGTCTGAGGCCAAGACAAAAACCACATTGTGTTAAGTTTTCCTTCTCCCACTCAAGCTTCACTCTGAAGGGACTGGGTTCTTCTAACCCCTAGTGCCTGTTGCTGAAACTACTTCTGTAAAAGCCATTGATTTGTGTTTCTTAGCTAAAACATGGACAGAAGGCCCCTGTTTTACTTTCATAGATATCTGAATAGGGTCTGTCTTTTAAAAAGAAAGATTTCTAACCCTGGCTGCCAATGTTGTTTGGTAACTTGTCTGAACAGTGCCAGCAGTATGGGCGTGGGCTGGTGAAAGCCAGGTGCTCTTCCAGCTTCCTGCCTGGCCCAGTCTTGCTGAAGGTGTGTCTCAGTAGGAAGGACACTGTCATCAATAGGCAGCACAGAGGCTGAATCTCCCTCTCCAGTTTTGAAGTCTACAGGGAGGATAGGAGATGGCTAAAAACAAGAGGAATAAAAAGATTGATACGTTCACTCATGGTGTAGGACAAAGCAAAGATGGGAGCACACCAGCTCAGAAGCCAGGTGACCAGTCCAATTCCAACCACACAGCCATTGCCTCAAACCAGCACCATTATTACACGTGTAATCCCCACTCTGCCCCCAGTTGTGGGGGTGTCCTGACATTGCCAGGAGCTCTGCCCACAGTGGAGAGCCAGGAAGCCCTTCCAATAACTGGAACCCCAACATAGTACATCCACTACACAGGTAAACTCCTCCATTCACTGCAAGCAGAGCCAGCCTTTATACTGCTCACTGCAGAGGCAGGACACCCAGTGGTGATCTCCAACCTGGTTCTCACCCAAGGTTGGCCAGGCATTGAGCAAAAACCAAAAGGAAGATCTTTCCTGCCTGGTTCTGGACATCATCTATATGTCAACCCTGATTCAGGGCTGGGAGTTTAGACCCCAGCACTTCACACAGCAGCTTTCACATGGCCGTGCACCTGCACATGGCCCAAAGTTGCACATCAGGTTCCGCAGGTCCTCAAGAGGAGACTTCAGGGAATGATGTAATCCTACTGACATTCAAAGTATCTCTTCTCTCTGTGTTAGTGAAACCTTACATTTGATTTAAAACAGCCTGTATGAAAGTCTGGGCTTTCAGAGAAGACCAGCCATTACAAAGGAAATCCTACTTCAGACAGAGAGTAAAAAAATTTCAAAGATCTGTAAACATAAACATTGGCCCATCAGGGTCTTGTGAGGATCCCATGTGGGGACTGTTCTCAAACAGCAAATGGAGGTTTAAATTCGCTCTGGATGCTACACAGACCAATACATTTCCTGAAATTTCTTTATCAAATGGAAAGGATGGAGGAATAATACCAAACACAATCCTTCTTTCTAAGCCAGAGAAGCGACGGACACTGTCAAGAACAGCACGTTCCTTCCACCCCCAGCCCTCCATTCTTCTTAATGATAGCTTTAACTTTAGCCTGATCTCTGATGCTAATATGGCCTCATATTCTCTTGCTGCTTCATCTGTGTAGCAGAGAACAGCAATATCTTTCTCAGAGTAACCGTTTTTAAGGTATCTTTGACAATGTTCTGCCACGTACTTGGCTATTTCTGCCATGTCTAGTCTTCTGACATCAACATGGCCTTGCACAGCATGAGCACACGTGGCTCTGCATAATAAGCTTTCCAGACGTTTGTTGGGAATATGTAGGGTAGAGAGCTTTACAATCTCTTCCATCTTTTGTTTTAGATAGTTATAGATACAGCTAGCATTACGAACCACTTCCGTTAGTGACTCGACAGGATCGTGCCATGATGCTGGTGGGAGACCAGTTTCGAAGCAGTGATTTTGCTGTAAGTAGTCCAAGAAAATCCAGAAAAAGCCAGGCTCAGGGAGGTGTTGTGATGAAGTGAGAGCCAGGGCTTTTCCATACCAGTCACCTGCCTCCTTTCGGAAATTCTGTGCTTCATCAATTATTATGTGCTTCACACCTTCAAAGCGTCTCTTCAGAAAGCCTACTCGTGTCTCAGCTTGGCAAATGTCCTTCTGCCTACAGAAGAGACACAAGCAGATTAGAAACAATCCCTGCCTTGCAAACTGCTGGTTGTACTCGATCAGAGCAAAGTGAATGCCCATGATATTGAAGTTGTATCTATCAGTAGATGCTCGGGATGTCGAGAAAAGACTTTGAGCCTTACATACTTCAAACACTGCGGCGGTTGGACCAAGCACCAAATCACTCACACTGATCAGTACTCAGCTCTTTAAAAATGCTTGTGAAGTAACAAGATGTTGAAAGGAATAGTTGGAGGAAATACTTACCGCACGAAATCTCTCAGAGGCTGGTTCTCACATACATAAAGAACTTCCTCTCGTGAGCACTGCAGCATAGTTTTTATTTTCTCTATGATCCGCAGGGCCACTACAGTTTTTCCTGTTCCTGGTAGTCCATAAACATAGAGCTTCTTAGTTTTATAAAGATTTTCTGACAGCAGCTGGTACTGCTTGTGAGTCAAAAGGTTCAAAAACTCAAAACCAACACGGTCACTTAAAAATGACCTGAAAGTGAGCAGAGCTACTGTGAGAGCACGCATGAGGGCGTGCCGGTTGTTGCTGCTGATGAGGCTGTAGTTTCGGGGATACATCTCTTCAACGTTCAGATCCCATTCTTTTCTGCAGTTAACTTGGGGAGATAGGGTCAGTAGCTTGGGTATCACACACAGTTTGTGAATGTAGCCCCCCGTGTTGACTAACTTCTCCTTCAGCCTGCAGGCGACACGTCTTGAGTATTCAAACAAGTCCTCCGAGACCGGGCGCTTACAGACGGTGTAGAGGATCGGTGGCCGGTCCTGGGCTACTAGGAGAGCATCACAAATTATGTCTTGGTTTTCTGGCAAGCCCAGTTCAGCAGCCCAGCTTCTGGAAAAGATCAGAACTCCCTCAGAAAGCTGATTCAGTTGATCTTCCATTAAAATAGCCAATCTGGGATGCTCTTGGAAGAGATCTTCACAGAGTTTTTCTGGAGTCCGCATTATCCTGTTGGATATCACTAACAAGGAAAACCAGAAGAAACAGTTAATGTTACCATAAGATATGCAAATTCAGCCCTCTGAAATGAATCTGTGGGGGTTCATATTGGTGAAAGGCTACAAATACAGACCATAGCTGCCCAAAAGACCTTTTTTGCCTCTTCAAAATTTTCCTTAACCACACCATATGTTTCCAGATTTTTTTGCACAGACTAGTTCCTCAGGCAACTCAACCCTCATCTACCCAGCTCTCAGTCCCTTGCTACAAACACCAGCATAGGACCAGCTGCTCCCAACCCTGTTTAGAGAGACCTGGTGAGTAAACAAAGAAAGAGTAACAGGTCAATAGAAACCCCCCCAGACCCTAGGCTGACCCTGCAGTGCTGCAGAGACATTGGACTGTAACCAGCAGCACTCTCCCAGCCCCAGTCACTTCATGTATTTACACTGGGCTGATTCCAAGTGACCTTCTCCTCCCATCTTTCCCATTTTTCACTGGATTGCACAAGGATGTTGGCTTGGCTGTGCTCAGTCCCCAGAGAAGTTCAGCTAGCTGAGCTCCATTGTGGACACGTGGCGATAGCTGGCAGAAGACCAGTCCTCAAGGAAGGGGTCATCAGGCATTTGAATGCAATGCTGCTGTCAGATCTGCAAACCATTCCCATCTCTTTCCCCTTTTCAAAGAAGGTCTTCAAATTCATCCTTGACCTTGACCATGCCCTTGAGATTCATGTTGTAAACCTACCAAACAGCAAAAGCAAAGTGCAGATCTACCTGGGAACAGTTTTTTACAAAGGTCATCAACGCCATCAAGGCCCCGTTGTGAATAAACTGGCTTGGCAAGAGGTGGCCCATCTGTCAGACTGAGCTCTAGCCTAAAGGTCTCAGAAAACTTTGAAAGATCTGGAAAGAAAAGATACAAAACAATGTGATTCAGCGTGAGCATTTGCTGTCCTTCAGTACCAGAGCCAAAAGCTCTCCTCCTGCTGTTTTTTGTATCTTTTGCTCTTCTTCAAAATAAAAACAAATGTGATGCAGAGACAGGAGCCTTGCAACTCACATGGACAGCAGCTGTTTAGCAACAGAATGGGCACAGGTCATGGACCGTGGAGCTGCTCTTGCTTTCCTTATCTCATTAGCTGCTGTTGTGACCTCTAACTCTGTTAGTGATATCCCTTTAACTGCCCAAGAGCTGGCCAACAAACAATTTATGTCCGTAGCTCTCAGCTTATTAAGCTGCCAGCAGCAGTGGAGAATGCCCCTGAAAAGCAGGAAGGAAGAGTATAGATTCAGCCCAGAAGCAAATGGCAATTGCCATGGACTGTGGCGATTACATAAAACATCATGCACTGGGGTCTAACCTCAGAAACAATCAACTGGAGGTGTGGAGAGCTCATGCTGCAAAAGCAGGCAGTAGCATTGGCATTAATAAGCTGCTAGTCACCAGGACCTGCTGTGGCATGAAGCAAGCACCAAGGAACGTAAGCAGCAGAAAGGTCTTTAGCAAGGATCTGAAGCAGTCAAGTCATTGGTTTGGTGAGGCCCCCAAAGAACACTGAAACGCAGGTAAGACTAAAGAAAACAACACTGCCAGGCCAGGAGCAAGAAAATAAAGGGAAATATCAAAAATGGAAAGGGATTATCCCTGCTTCTTTGGACCTGGATCAGCATCGGTCATCCTTTCAGCCCACTCGTGTGCTTTCACTCTCCTGATCTTCCTGTCTTCCACGAGCCACGAGGCCGGGTCTTCGGAAAACACGACGCACGTGAACGGATGAATCTTCACAGCACAGACGTAGCCACAGGGACATCCAGCCTCGCAGCACACTGGGAGGAGTCTGTGTTCATACCTTACCTGATGTGCACTTTGGTTCCCACAGAAATGGAAGAGGGTTAATTTGTCTTTAACGGAATTGATTGCTGAATTTAAATCTTGAAGGCCCTCATCACTGCTGCTGAATCCCTGCACCACGCTCTCATCGTCCACACCCATCCAGAAGTAGCCGCCGCCCGCGTTGGCGAATCCAGCGACGTACTGAGGCAGCACCTCTTTGACACGAGTCAAAAATTTTTCAGTTGAATAGTGCTTAAATTCCACATACTGTGACTCTGTGAAAGGCAACTTCTCTCCACGTCGCAGTTGGTCCCTGTTAAAGAATTTGGCGACGGTGTCATCTGTAACATCCTTGGCTCCTTCAATAGCCATTGTGTTCCTCCTGATTTTAGGAGGTGGGGATGAGCCCAGCTCTCTCCTGCCTTCACTTTCCTTTCCTTTAAGGAATGAAAGGGCTTGAATAGGGTTCATGTGGGAAAGGGAAGTTCCAGATTTTGCGTGCAGCCCAGTACTCAGGCTACAGATACGTGGCTTTGTGATTGTAGAGGATGTGCTCTTGCTGCTCCAGGTTTTAATAAAAATCAAAAGGTGATTATCTCGTTGTTCGAAGTCCAGGTATTCTGTCCAGTCTGGAAACAAAAGAAGAGACTGAAAAGTCTCTTCTAAGTCTGGTCCGATCCTATCTCTCTCCAAGTTGTAGTCTTCATTTTCAATCTCTGCTTTTACGACACCTCCTCCAGAGTTCAGCAAGGCACACACTGCACAGGCAAGGGTGTATTTTTGATCTTGCTTTGAATTTATTGGCATCTTTTTTCTTGCCTTTTCACCAAACCGTATTTTTCCAACACACAAAACTACTTCAGGATATTTTGTTGTGAAATCAACCCAGACCTTTTGTTGACCATCTTCAAGAGCCATTCTTGGCCTGAAACAAATGTAAAAAAGAACTGCTTACTGTTTATGTCGAAACATCAGTCTTCCAATGGCTTCCAAAAACATGAACTAAATCCAAAAACATCAGCTAAAGAGCAGCCATCTTTTGAACGATGAATACACTGAGTCACAGAGATGACAGCAACAGGGATCTTCCTCCACTTTCAAAACAGAGTGCTTGCTTAAAACCCAGATTTGCCCTTTGTGCCCAGGTGTTTATTTTTGTTTCCTTGAGCATGAAGGGATGTAGGGATCTTGCTGCCATCTGTCCCTCTGAACAGAAGCTGCCTCAAATAGTTTCTCTATAGCCAAGCTTGTGCCCCTTGGCACTCAGACTGCAGGCAGACTTGTTGAAATGGTGGCCAGCTGCATCTGCACCACATTTAAGCCCATTCCTTAAAATGATATCCAGCCCCTGGGCTACAAAACACATCTGTGGGACAGAAGTACCTGAAAATAAATGAAAGTGTGCCTAGAAAAGACCTTGCCTGTCACAGGAGCACAGTGTATTTCCAGTAGCACAGATCTGCCTTCTGTGTGGCCAGTTATTAAGCTAGAGCTGCACGGCACAAAACCTCCAATGAGCACCTTCTCCAGATCTGATACAGGACACAGGTTTCCTGCCTTGTCTGCCTCTCCTCCAGCTCTGCTGAGGAACATAGCTCTGCTTCTTTGAGTTATAGTACAACTAAAGCAGCAAGGACATTAGTGTGGGCTAATTTTGCTACCAGCTAGAAGCATTTTCCCACCCAGACCCACAAGCCCTCCTCTAGCTTGCTTCAACAAGACAATTTTAAACCCTTAAATATTTAAGTCCCAGAATGATGTGCAGCAGAAAGAGGTAAAAACCATACGGAGCGTGTTATCTGTTTCCACCTCTGCTCTCTCCCCCTATTAAACTCTTGGAAAATGGAACATACTTTGTTGCCAGTTTCATTTCTCTGATGGTTTTGTTTTCCCCTTTCCTGCTCTGTTTCCTGCAACGGAGCACCAGTGTCCACAGATGTCAATCTTTCTAGTTCTATGTGAAGTTCAAAACCGGTTTTTGCTGAACTATTACTCAGAAGCTATTACTTCCTTCTCACTCCTGCCCTGGGCACTTTTCCAGCAGCCAAAGACTATCAGAGATAAAAAAAATAAATTTAGAAGAAATCCCCCAACTTACAGCTTTTACATACATCATTGTTTGCTCAGTCTGGAAAGCTGGTGCTCTATTAAACCTCTAGTGCTGCCAAGGCAGTGATTCAGTTCTGGAAGCTGTGAAGCAGAACAGCAAGCTAGAAAGTCCCGTGCAGAAGATTGGGGTGAAATTCCAGCAAAGGCACTGAGACAGGGGTAACAGTGAGAGGACCGAGAGCAGCGGAGGTCGTGGGCTTGACTGCAAAGCCTCGGGAGGCCTCGCACAGCGGTGGATGAGCCGGACCTGGGCAGCTGCTCAGCAAAGCTGTGTGTATTTTTGAGGGGAGAAAAGAGAAAATGGACTAGTTTGGAGAAAGAGCAAGCTAGCGCTGGACTGCAGAAACACACTTGCAATTCAGGAAAGAAACGGAAGCATGTTTTGTTCGTAGGCAGGATTACAGCTTCACGCACAAGGTGAAAATGGCTCTTAGCTTTCGATTCCATACCGCAAAGTCCTCATCTCACCGCCTCACCGGTGCAACGACCCCACCCTTCCTTTGCTCCGTGTCTTCTCCTTCGTCCTCGTCTCCCGTCAGACTCCATCCTGGCGTCCCGGGCTGCTCTCCAACCGTCACAACACGGAGCTTCGCCCGGTGGAACTTTCCACGGTACCCACCGGCAGTGACGGAACGCGTCCCAGCCTTCCCTCAGACCTCTCCACAGGTGCGGGGGTGGCTCGAAACGCTTTTATTTCTTCAATTCCGACTCTCCCGACGTACTTACCACGACACCGGTCTCTCTCTGTCCCGGGAAAAGTGATTTAACTGTATCACCGCCCGCTGTCAGTGACGGAACGCGTCCCAGCCTTCCCTCAGACCTCTCCACAGGTGCGGGGGTGGCTCGAAACGCTTTTATTTCTTCAATTCCGACTCTCCCGACGTACTTACCACGACACCGGTCTCTCTCTGTCCCGGGAAAAGTGATTTAACTGTATCACCGCCCGCTGT